TAGCGAAAGAAAATATCAAAGAACGTCTGAATAATGTAGGACAAACGACTGGGAAGCTAACAACTGAAAGCATATGCAAGCTACTCGACTTGTGTCTTACTACTTACTTCAAATTCAACGGAGTGTTCTACGAGCAAGTTAGAGGAGCCCCAATGGGATCCCCCATATCTGGACTCATTGCAGAAGTCGTCATGCAGAAGTTGGAAGAGGATATACTCCCAGTCCTTAGTCCGAAATTATGGGTGCGATACGTTGACGATACGTTTGTGATTCTCAAACGCAACCAGCTACAGACCGCACAAGGCCTACTTAACAATGCAATGGAAGGCATTTGTTTCACCATAGAAGAGGAGGTGGAAAACCAACTACCCTTTTTGGACGTGCTGGTCACCAGAACGGTAGAAGGCGAATTACAGACATCAGTTTACAGAAAAGCAACACACACCGACCAAATCCTAAACTTTAACAGCAATCATCCTAAGTGTCACAAAATAAGTTATATACGGACTCTGTTTCGTAGGATAGAAACGCATTGCAATACTGCAGAGGCCAAACGTAAGGAAGAAGAACATCTGTTTAGGTCTTTTATTCGTAACGGCTACCCACGCAGTTTCATCCGAAGACACCTAAACCGAAGGAGCACAACTACCACACCTGCACCAACGACGACGAAACACATCGCCTTGCCGTACATCAAAAACATATCGGAAAAGACAGCCAGACTCCTCAAACCGCACAACCTGACGATAGCTCACATACCAACTGGGACTTTGAAAAGAATATTATCTAGACCTAAAGAAAGACTGGAGGCACAAGAACACCAAAATGTCATCTACAGGATAAAATGCGAGAATTGCGACAAAGACTATGTAGGTCAAACGGGGAGAAAACTATCCACAAGAATAAAAGAGCACAAGCGTGCGTGTCGATATCATTATGTATCGTCACAGATCTCAGCACACCTGGATGAGGAAGGACACAATGGTAACTGGGACAAAACAAAAATTCTGGCGCACGGAGGGACAAGAAAAGGAAGGGAATTCCTCGAGGCATGGTTCTCTACGGAGAATTCCCTGAACCTCCGCATTGATCTCGATCCCGTGTACTTACAGCTGAGAAAGCGTGAAGCTGGACGGCTAAGTATCGAACAAACAGAGGTCACGGGACACAGATCGACGAGGCTATTTTCAAACGCTACGTCCCAACGACATTTTCCGTGAGATTTCCCCTGCGGAGCTGTACACTGAAGATGCCACTGAGGGAAGTGGTGAAACGTTTGACATTAAATTACTCAGCTCGGAGAACGATTCAAAACGTTAATTACGAACCCGAGCTACAGGTATTCCGAATCATTGCATTTCAATACTTATACTACGCTTTCATAATAAGTAGTCAAATAACGTTGAGTATTTAGAGGCAAAAAAATGAGTGCGAGACAACTCATCAGGCCAAGACTCGGAGCGGGGAACATTGGAGTGACCAACCGATGCTTTGCCTGCGCATATTTAGTACTAGTTTCAATATGATTAAAATGCTACACTAACATCCGCTGTCATCTGCATGGCAGGTGCCTGCATGGCAGTGGAGGATGGGTCGGGCTATATCGTATTCAGCTAACAATTCGTGATGGTCGGATACCGTCCTCCATGGCGCAGTTGCATAAGCTGCGGGCTAATTGGCAAGAGCCACTGGCAGTTATGGGTTCGATCCTCGCAAAGGACCGAAGGATGCGCACCACTGATGAGCCCCAATAGGGCGAAACAGCCGTCTGGTGCTTTTCCGGATAGCTAGTTGACTTAGCTGTTGTCGGCTGGTTGCGACGAACAAAAATACTCACCAAAATCCTTCCACGCATAACTAACGAATCATGTCGATCGGGAATTGAAATCGGTCATTCTAGCTGTAACCGGACGCGACGTCTCTTCCTTAACTAGTGCTGCCCACCGGAAGAAATTCATAATGACCACTGTTGCTTGACTGAGCTAGACCAGCAGTGGATAGTCCGGCTGCTTGCGCGTGTTGTGATAGCAAGGCACGGTACAGTATGAAGGCAAGTTCGAGCCTGCGTTTCGTTCCACCTAGGAACCTAGTCATGCAAATACAGTTAGTGGACACAGCGCACTTAAATCGGATTTTGTGCTCCACCTTTCGTTGAGTAGGGCGTAGGAAGAGCACAACAGCCGATGGATGCATGCACCGGCATTCAGTGGTTCTTTGGATGGGTGCACCAGTTGCGTAGGAATTCACCTAGCCGACTATACTTCCAGTTTCCCAAGGGAGCATCAGTGCCATTCTTTGACGCTCAGACACAACGACATGCCGCCAAAAAAGCGAAGCGCACAGATCATCCCGAAATATCACACAAAATACTCCACAGCGCACAACTGCGAGAACTGCGTCCTAGTGTGTCGGTGGAACAAGTAAGAACTTGCTAAAGATGAAAGGTATGTACAAAGCTACCAAATGCGCAGTCTCAAAACGGAAGTAAAGCTAATAGATGGCGTCACCAGGGCAAGGCGAAGGTTTTATCCAACAAATCACTGAAGCCTTTGGAAACTGGAGCAGACGAGCAGTGCTCTGTCGGTTAATGATTTCGAACGATTCCTGCGGGTGTTGGCAAGTAGCGTAATCAAGGATATGGTGAGCGATGGAGCTTGCGGACAGCTTAGAAGTATTTGCCAACAGGGAATGAGATAGAAAATCTCTCATCTTGAGCTGCAAGATGCATTGAATGGCGCCGTAGTACATAACGTCGACAGCTTAACAGTGAGTCAGTCAAATATGCCGGAACTTTGGCACAACAGCAAGCGAACGTTGATCAGGCTTTCGCAGATATGGAAAAAAACCATCATGTCGGGTGGCCGCGACCGATACTTATCGAGTAGGTTATACTATAACGCCGTGGACAGGATTCGGCGTGCGGCGACAGTTCAGCTGGCCCACCGACTGCTTGATAAATTGTAGGGAAGACGAGGTTTGTGATGTAACACATTTGATACTGCAAGTCATATTGTCTGCGGTCTTACACTGCTTGAGCATTAGCGTGAGCCAGCTGATGGTTGCTATGTGTAGCACCGTACTACTTTACTGTCAATGGCCTCACGTCGTTAGAACACTGATGTGAGTGATCACGCATGAGACCCATTCATCTGTGCGGCATGCTACTGGCGTTTACCTCAAACATATGAGCCGCAATTGGCGGTGTGGTCAGCTGTGTTGATGCACACGTTACATAAAACACCGCGTATTAAGACGCTGATAGTTTGTAGGTGTAATATTGAAGATATATTTGTTTCCAACTTAAAGAAATTGCAGTTTTTGATACGGAATCGGGCTGGGAGAGTAAACTGTTGAGGTTTGTACATTTGGGATTGCTGATTGCTTGTAAATAAAACTGTTATCCAGTTCCAAGCCTGATTGTCGATTTCATTCAGGTGGAAAAACTTTGGCCAAGCCTTCCAACCATTTGCGTCTTTATATATATATATATATATATATATATATATATATATATATATATATATATATATATCCGAGGGCACCCATGAACCTTATACGTACTTCTTGTAAGCCGTAGTTTTACCAAGGACTCATAGCCCTCTGTTTTGCTGATATTTCAATAAGATTTATATCATGTTTGCAACTCAATATCTTTTTCTTGTTCAAGTTCCATTTATTTCACCTTTCATTATGGCTACTAAGAAAAGAAAAGTGGACGTCGGGTGTCGCGTATCCTTTGTCTGTTTTGGTAGAGTTTTCGTTTTAGCTCGCAATTATTACGCAGAATGATTATACGGTCTGCGTTAGTCAGTTTATAAAAATGTTTGGTGACTCTTGCTCTGATTGAACGATATATTGATAAAAACTGAAGAAATTCAGTCAGGTAAGCATGGAAAAACGTGTTTATCGTCAAGGCAAACAGAGAACGGTGGATGCATGGGTGGGGTGGATGACACACGGCAGGTTAAACCCGACGGCGTCAACAGGAAGCTGCCGACTGAGATACCTAGATGTCGGATTTTGAGCGGTTCTCCGAGCTGAGTGATTATTGTGCAGACGTTTCATTGCCTGACTAGGCAACATCATCAGTGCGGTTTCAGGGGCCTGGTTCGCAGTGCCTCGTAAGCGACTTCAATGTCCAAGTGCTTATTGATCGAGTTCTGCTTTAAATGCCATGCTTCAATGAACTCACGTGCATGCCGGCTTTTAGCCCTTCCGAGGATACTGGTATGCTCTATGTCGAATTGATGGTTTTCAGCATCCATGTGCACTGATATCAGGGAGTTCTGATCGTGGCACTGATGATGTTGCCTAGTCAGGCAACGAAACGTCTGCACAATAATCACTCAGCTCGGAGAACCGCTCAAAATCCGCATCCACACCCGAGCTACGCATATTCTCATTTATTTCATACCTAGATGTCGCCGGGCCTAGGCAAGCTTGAGTTAGCGACCCGTAAATTCCAAGCTTGAACCACTCCATGTGACTGAGATGGGATAATATGCTAACCAACGACTTATCTGAGTGATTCGAATTGACATTAAAATAATAAAATATGGAAAGTGGCATTCGAAGTCGCCCGGGTATGGAATACGAAATAGTATTCAAGCAATAAACCCGGGTGTTCAGAGGCCGAATGGGAAAAATTGCGAATCGGGTTGACGCATATCACGGGTCAGAGCAAAATGCCCAACCAATGAAAGAAAACGATTTGTTTGTAAAAGTGTCCTCGCTTCTGAAGAAGGTGACAACGATGAGCTAGTGGCTTCAGACATACTGACTGACCAACATAAGGGTCATGAAAACAAACGAGACTGCGAAAACGATGCCATCAAGTCTGGCAGAGCAAGGTCTGCAGGCATACATCACCAGCTTAGCATTGACACCATATTAGAACCATCAACTCTATGATACTGTACAAGTCGAAGTGCTGATCCCATTCTTAGTAGGGACAGAGAGATAAGGCATACTGGTAAACCTAAGACATCCAGTCAACTCACCACCAACCGCTTCTGATGCTGCCAACGCATGCCAAGCACGGCAGTGGTTGGGTCGAAACTAGAGGACAGTAGTGTGCTACTCAAATGGGAGAACGGAAAATGTCTGATGCGCCTGGATTGCGGAGAGTGGAGGACAAGTGCGGCGGCGGAACGTCGGAGCCGAGTCGAAGTTGGACCGAAGGAGCTACTTCCTACGCTGTCAGCGTTCCAGTCAAAGTTCCAGACAACACTGAAAGAAAAGGAGATACAGTGGAGTGGGTTGGGTGGGGTGATTCAGAAGTGGTGAAAATCACTGCCAGAACCAATTGAAAGAAGCAGACATTCGGCTCAGCTGAGCGGATGGACTTGGATTCTAGCAGCGAACGCAGTTACCCCAATTGCCTAAACACATGTCGCTAACACAGTAGCAAAATTAACAGTAATAACGACGATCTATGGGAACAGACAAAAAGTGTGTTCGTCGAATGAAGGGAGCCAAGAGTCAGACATGAGGGAGCGAGCGAAAAACGTCCATGACTTCGCGACCACGCCATATTCAATCCTGAGGATCAGGTGGTGGAGCAAGACGGCAAGTACCAACTCTAGTTCACATTTCGTTGAGTACCTTCATGCAAATTGCTCATTTCTGTGAAGTATTGATAAACACTAAACGTCGGGACAACCGACTCGCGGTTAAGTGGAATACTTGACAGTAACCAACATGGGGAGGTGGATGGCGATTTCAGCTAAATCAAAAACTAGATGAACTTCAGTATGGCTCACTCGTTGCTCGCATCAGATATCAGCAACATTTCACATAAAATTGGTAATCAATCACGATTAGTGTCTTAACGTCTGCCGTGCACAGATATCATGCCCCTGACTCATACAGTTGCCATAGTCGATCTGCTCTCATCATTACGTATCAGGTAGTCTCACCCAGCAAGTAAGGTAGGCAAGCCCGTTGTTTTGCGACAGGTGATGGTTATTTGATGGTGCTATGGAAAAACCAAACAATTTGCTACATACTTTATAGTGATATCATTCGTGGTCCACAACGGGAGACTGCCAGTCGCTAGTGAGAAGCACACACTGCACGCAAAGCATGGCTGCAAAATCATGAAATGTCTGACAGAAAGCTGAGGAGTCGTCGTATTTGTGAAGCGGGATCATAAACAGTAGGACGAATGAGGTGAATCAGCGAATTTAACAAACACTAGACGTCATGACAATCCGATGGATTGAGGCGTGATCAGTTTTAGATGTAGACGATATTGTGTGTAGGATGCAAAGTGAGACTTACGAATTTTCTAAAATGCGTCCTCTAGTTCGATCCGGTAACTGAATGACACGGACGATTCGAGCAGGACGATTGGAGTCACCGCGAAATTGGTACGAATGAACCAGCTGAGCGCTCCAGCGGTCATGTGGTTCACCGTAAAACAGCTCCACAGATCGTGCATCTGTACGTGCGTGTTCGCGAGACACAACTGGGAGAACAAAAATGATAGATGTTGGGAAATGCAAGCCAAGTCAAATCAAGGTAAGCTATATGTGGCTATATAGGTATATATCTAGTATTTTACAAAATCGATGCAAAACCATATGAAAGGACAAAACAGAGCACACGATGCACAGGTGCCAGTCGAAGAAACGTTCCAGTATATCATCATCATCATCAACATCATCATCAACAACAACAACAACAGCAACAACAACGGTACATCGGCAATTTGAACGGATGCTTCGCTGCCATACCATCAGGAAGACCTACGGAATAAAGAATAATATGAGGGAAAAAGGCGGAAAAAGCTGAAAACCTTAATGCCCTAAGCAAACATTCACGGTCAAGGCGCCTACATCCTGTGTATACAACATGTCGTGCAAAGATAAGGCGGCATCGGCGAGACAGCTTTCTTGTGGCTTTCACTGTTCCGCGTCATAATCAGCCATTACCCCGCAGATAACACAACACCAAACACAATTTAAACAGGCAATGCGATTAGGAGACGGCAGCAGACGTGCCCACTGGTGTCGATTGGGAGCCATGTCCTGTAAAGTCTGGAGCCAAGCACAAGGCGAGTCAGGTGGACTCCAGCCCGGAAGTCAAGATGGACCAACGGCACGCAGTTGGGTCGTCAGTGACTTCATTTCCCGCTGCCAAGTCAACTTCTGTCCACCGCGAGCCTTGCGCCATCCTACACCTGGCAGACTAAACAAGGCCCTCTTAGGTAAGCGGTGACCAGTCATATGTAGCAAGTGCCCGAGCCAACACAACTTATTCAGTGCTATCTTTTGTTCTAGGGATCCAGCATGATTATCACTACTTAGTACACACCTACGGACATCATCGTTGCGTACACGCTGGTCCCATTGGACACCAGCAATGCTTGGTAAACAAGGATGAGCGAACAGTTGAAGACGCCAGAGATCTTCAGACCGAAGGTGTCAAGTCTCACTACCATAGAGCAGAACGGCCCTCACCGTGGCCTTGTATACATCACCTGTCAGATGGAGGGAAACTGCTGTCGCCAAAAATGCTGCAGGTCGGAGAAGCAGCTCTGGCCTTTGCAATGCATGAGCAGACGTCAGTTTCTATGCGCACATCAATGCGGATGCATCTGCCAAGAAAAGTGAATTGATCGACCACCTCGAGTTCCTCGTTAGCAAGGGTCAAGGGGTCATAAAGTGGCTGGTGGCCCTGCAGCAGCAGTTTACACTTTGAAGATGCGACTGCATACCAAATAATGTGACCACTCTAGACAGGCTATTCAGGGTTGATTGTGCCGCCGCCGTATATTTTCACTATAACCGATTCGCTCTAGCTGGTCGGGACGCTCTTCATTCCAGATACCTTCGCATAAGGAGGTTAATGTTTTGCAGATGACCCGACCTCCATCCTTAAATAGTGCAGGTGGGAGGGGATCCGGACCAGTGGCACGAAAACGACTGAGAGCTGTGATCACGTTTCGGACCTCGGCCTCTGACGGAGGCTCTAAACTAACGGTCCATGGCTCGTCATGCATCACCTGAGTAGAAAAAGGTCCGGGAGCAGGGAGCCAGCTGAATTGATCTTGAAAGCATTCCGCCCAACGAGCCATACGGCGCTCCTTATTGTGTATCAGTGCACCCGCGCTGTCTCTGATTGTCTCATTGGTGCCTGCTTTCCTGGGACCAATGGTGGGGATCAGCTGAAAGAGCTTGCGGTAATTGCCTGCTGCTTCTGCCTCCTCCATTTCTTAAGCCCTATTGGCCCACCAGGCATCCATGTCAGCACGTAGACACTGTTTTAGTTCATACCTAATAGCCCGTCTGGTCACACTGCGTTCAGAGTCAGCCGGAAAGTTTCTTCTAGATTCGAACAGGTTCACCGACCTCTCGGAGATCAAATGACTGGTGCAAGGACAATTGATAGTGCCACAAGCAGATGCTCCTGCGTCTTGCATGACGGCGGAGATCCTATTCCACTGAAGCTCAGTTTCATTAGAACAAGACAGTGAAAGTTCGGTACCCAGTGCGTCTTGATAGGCTTGCCTGACCGAGGGCTGAGACAGTTTCACAGTTGCCAATCGTAGGGGACGCTTGGTGCGCTTCCTGGTAAAGTTCATGGAGAAACGACCGCGTACCAAGGCATGATCAGAGTCGACACAGGTACTCCAGTATCAGCGGCAATCCAGGATGGAACCACGCCACCTGTAACTTATAGCCAGGTGGTCAATTTGGGTCCATCGCTGGCCAGCTACAGGAGGACGCAAAGTGGCACTTCGGCGCCCACTGTGTTTAAAAACAGTGCTACTAAGAAACAAATGGTGCTCCGCACACAGTTGCAGTAGACGTTCGCTGTTGTTAGTCCGTTCGGAGTTACGCCCATAATTACCACCTAGCTGAGCTTCTGAAGATCCCAGACGCCCTAGTTGTACGTTCATATCCCTATCAAGTACTATAATATCCGAACTAGTAAGAGTGCGTAGTAGCGCGTTCAGTTCATGATAGAATGTGTCCTTGACAGCATTAGAACTGCAGTCGGTGGGAGCATAAGTGGAAACCACAAACAAACAGCGTTTTGTACTACTTCGTGAATCAACTTTAGCTGGTGTCGTCAAACGGGCTGCACATAAACGGCTGTTCACCGGAATCTAATCAAGCAAAGATGGCTCAGTATTGAGGCTTAGAATGATATCTACACCAGCTTAACTCGCGAGTGTTGCATCGGCGTCTCCGGATGCGTGCAACCAATAAAGAGAGCACAAGCCGGGTGCAGTTAATCCAACAACCCCGTTAGGGTCATTGATCCTAGTTTCGGACACACAACACACATCAATACCCAGTGTGTCCAAGGTGCGTGCGAGTACAGCCTGTTGACCTACTTGCCTTAAAGTGCAAACGTTGAACGTCGCCATGGAAACGGGACAGCGTGGCCTTATAAGGAACCGTTGCCGGTAGGCGTCCGGTGCGTATCGAGGAAAGGTGGCTGCAGATTGTTCTACTCCGGTGGCACTTCGGTTGCCGTCAATTAAGCTGGGAATTGTAGAAGGAAGGTTAATAATGGGGGTCGGGATGGGAGTAAGAGAAAAAAGTGGAAAAGAAAGAAGAGAGGCGCCAGCAGTAGCATGTTTTCGCTTATCCGCCTTGCTGTACCCAACAGATAAGGCGACCCTTGATAATCTGCGCGACAACCGATGCAGGAAGAAGTCTATGTTTGGAGCAAATGTCATGGTTGTATGTGGGCTGAGATACTGCCAGGGCGCCCAGACCTAGACAGGAGAACGATTAGGGTCTTCATCCAAAGTCTTTGGCTCAAAAGTTTGTCCGCAAGGCAGCGGGGAGGTGGCAATTATTTAGTATTACAGGAATGGAAGCCATCCCATTTCAAACCCCCAAGCTGGAGAACCAGGAGACTGAGTCTGTCTGACCTATCACCACTGACCAACCTGGTAGGAGTAGCTCTCAAGGTGCCCGAGGCACCACCCAGTAAAGCTCAATGGGTCAATGAGGTACGCAAACCGTCGCACCACGTTAAGGTCCAGTCTCGTTGCGACAGTCCAGTATAATCAAGCAAGCAACGATTGTACACTGCTGTAGAGAATAATCTGGATTTTTATCCCGTTAACAGGACTGTGTCAAAGGTCAGCTTCCTAACCGGGATGACAATTTTCACGTTACCAAAAGGTTCTCTGAAAACTTGTTTGTATGTGTTATTGACGTTTTGTCCGAAATCAACAAATCGCGCATCACGTTTAATGTTTTTAAGTTTTCTTTTAAATCGAGGATGCCGTACGGTAATTGTGAGCTTGGAAATACTCTAGTCAAGGAAATTGTCGGAAGCATTGCGAAAATAACTGGCAAATCCACAGAACAGATAACGGCCAATTTAAAGACATCGCTGCAAAATAATAAGTAAAAGAGGTGACGGAAAAACGATTGTAAGCAACTTCAATCAAGGAAGGACACATTGGCGAAAATACGGCTTAAGTATTGCACAAAGAAAAGTACGTACTGAACGGATTCTATGGGTGCAAAGGAATGAGAACCCGACTGGCAGGCATGCTTAAGTGTCGTAAGCTTTAACTACTGAATTTGTTGTAGGTAATATACAACAAACCTCTTCCCGGTAGACAAAACAAATTTGATGGAAATCGCCACTTACCAGTTGGAAAACCTGTAGAAGATTGGGAAGACAAGGTTGAATTGATTACTCCGGGATACGCTGACACAGGATCAGGTGCACCGGATGTGTCGAAACACAGACTATTGAGGTTGACCACATGGCCACTGGGGAAAACAATGCGTTTCAAACGACCTGAACCCGAGGAGTACTTGAAATGGATGGGATGAGTCTCATGCGGTTCTTGTACCTGAGTGAGTAGCCCTGACTGGTGATAGCGAAATAACCAACTGCCTCCCGTTCTAGGGTCTCCGATTTGTGTGATCAGCTGGGGGGATCCAGAGGATAGGGTGATGTTGTACACGGAACCTGTACATGTGCAGGACAAAGTGATAAGATCGAGTGAATTAATCGATGGAACATTGGGTGAAGAGTCACAAGAAATCTCGATTCGGATAAAGTAGGAGCACGTAGGCGGGAAGACAGCCACGGTATTTTGAGAGAACAAAGTTCGCGAGGTGCAGTAGCGCTAGGAGAAAAGGCAGAGCCCAGACGACGCTTCAGAATGTGAGTCACTTGAATCCAGAGAGCGCACATGCAGTAATTTGTTCAAACAAAGCGACACGGTCACGCTTAACCAAACCGGTTGGTCACGCGGTGCATATAGCAAGTTACGCTAGGTTCCATGGCGTTGATTGCACCCACAAACTGCTCGATATTCCGGCATCACTGACGGGTGATTGTAACCTGTCAGTGCAGTGCTGACACGCCTACCAATCCTACACAGTGTCATGGTTTTAGGGGCTGTCCGGACCAGCATATGGAGTTCTCGATTTACGAATGTGACATATGCATATGTGTTGTCCACACTCGTAGGTGGAAGCATAAGGAACGCGTACCAGCGATACACTCTAGGAGGTTGTTGAGCTACGATTCGTTCCGGGACTTACTCACTTCTCCAGGTGGCAGTTCACAAATACAAGATCCTGGAGTTAGAGAGAAAGATTTCTGAACCGCATGGAAAGCATGCGATTAATGGGAGGACATGGGACGCAGCCGGACTATACACTTCCTGAGGGGCTAAGGGTAAAAGTTGCTAAGACACACGCGCAGCCAATCATATCTACCCCAAATACGGAGATGAGGTAAGACAAGCAGCCTCAGACATAGTAAAGAAGCCAAGACGACGATAACCATGTCGCTGTGTCCGTAGTAAACAGTAAAAAATTACATGATTGGCCATTGAACTGGCTCTGTTGTTTGCGCCGTGTGTAAATGAAAATTACATGAGAATCGAGATCTTGTACGATTATGCGAAAACCTTGAATCATAACATGCTAACGGGGGTAGGTTGCACGGAAAGTGACTGCACACTAAACAGATGGAGGAGAGCAGCTCAGTGATGACGAAGAGGAGCCAGCACTGCATCAGTATTTTGCACTGATGCATCGCTGCCATGCGATAGCAAAGCATTGCAAATGTGAGCACCCATCCACATGCCAGACTCGAACTCAGGGAGTAGGGGCTGCAGCAAGTAGGGCACCTGGAGTAATAAGAGACAGATACCTTGAGTGGGATATATCGGATCAGTGAACGTCCTCATGTCAAGGCAGAGGTGGTTAATAAGTTCAGTTAGTCAAATTTGATTTGTGCAGGGTCGTGCAGCGAGTCCCATCAGGTTGACACAATGCAAAACAAAAATAATGATGATACTGAGGTACAGGAATTTAGATCATCTGAAATAATCAAGGATTCATAAATGAGCGGAAGAATGCTGTGGTATCACTGACTCCTGCACGTCATCATATCCCATAGTGTTAGACCATTTGTGAATGCTATCTTCACGAGAGCAAACTACATTACTGACAATTAATAAGTAACTTGTTTATTCTCAGCTTTCTGATCAAACAATCTGCTCACCTGCAGTTCCAACAATTGGTGCTGGCTACACATTCTCAGAACATCAGATTTATTTAGTTGTGTTGCTAACCACTGCTATTTAACAATGCAAACTTATATATCTAGCACATTACATAACGTTTTGTTTTAATGCGCTACATCAGCTGGGTTTCACATCGCTTCCCGTTTGAACAAAACCCTTGGACTTAATTCTTCCATGTCCACGCGGGTAATTGCACTTAGTTGTAAGTGTATTATAGTACGTTACCAATGATTGTGTATAGAACCACGACTTTGCTATTCAGACCATGCGGGCAGGCGGTTGGCGTGGAGGCGGACCACATGCCCAAGCCAACGAAGGCAATTCGATAAATCGGTTGTACGTTCTTCGGGTTATGTTCGAGCTCGAAGAACAAACCAAAGCCCGAAGGCAATTCGAGTTGGTAGGCACTCCAGTAAAGCACCGGAAGGATTGCTGCTGAAATGCTATACTACTTACTAGATTACTGCACCAGATTTGAGCAATACGTCGCAAGCATCACTGGTCAAACACGGTTGGTTCCCAAACGTCCCCAGTGCGCATTGGTTAGGTCGATGATCTATAAGTAACGCTAAACACACAGTGGGCGATTGGGTTTTAACGGCAGTTTCACTACGCTAGATTGCTGACAGAGCCACACAACGAAATATTATCGCTAAATTTATTGTCGGGTTTTGGAGCATTCGCCGCGTGTCTTGGACCGCGGCACGCAATCTCAATTGTGGTCTCGGTTGAGTTTGAAGTCAGCCTCTGCCAATACGAGCACTAGGACCGTCACCGAAGTGGAGGGTTTCGGTGTGGCACTCTCCAATCCATGCACTCACGACCGACGGTTTCGTCCTGGTTTGGAGTCATAAGGAAGAGATAGCCGAGCTGGGAGTGGAACTCGGCGCAAAGTGCTTGGCGACTAACGCCATGATGATTATGCCATTGAGCTGCATGCGCAAGGCTTGATACAGCGATGGGAAATTGATGTTAGGATTTTGGAGCACCCGCTGTGTGTCTTGGGTTGCGACACGCAATCTCAATTGTGGCTTCGGTTGATTACGAAGTCAGCTTCAGCGAATACGATCGCTGGGATTGTCACCTATGTGGAAGGTTTCGGTGTGGGTCTCTCCCATTTCTACACTCCACAACCGATGGTTTCATCCTGTTTTGGACTCATCAGGTAGAGATAGTCGAGCTGGGAGTGAAACTCAAACTATATCTAACCGCTGAGTCCAAATACGGACGAAACGTGTTGTAGAGTGTAGGGATGAGAGAGAGAGAGCCACACCGAAACTCTCCATCATCGCTAAATCAATCTCAAACCAGCAAAAACACATACACCCGGATATCGGGGTCGCGCGCACACAAACGCGGCGGAACTAGCAGCAGGACGACATTTCTTGTGTCAGTTGAAGCATTTCCATGTGGGCACAGGCGCCGAATAAATGAGCCACGGCAGCAAAGCTGGTACGACAGTAATTGAACCTCCTATGGACACATCATTACTTCATCTCTCCCTGCTTTGCGAAAGGGCCGTGAGTGTTGTGCGTGCACAAGAAAGGGCGGATGAAGTGTGCTCCCAGCAAGCGATGGCTCACCACCAATGGTTATTGGCTCGGAGGCTGATTAAAGTAATTAACGAGACGTGACAAGACAATATGGCTGGTAGCAGTTTCGTTAGCAGTGAGGCGGTAGGCGGCTACAGCGTTTGTCAGACAACAACTGAGGCGACGACGGGGAATAAACTCTGGACAAGAGCAGGTTTCATGGTGTGTACTAGAACGAGGCGTGCCGGCTGAGTTGATCACACACTAGCAACAGCGACCAATCACATCATACCGACCAGAAAAATATCAACCAGAATGCGGTCAAGAGCCAATGGTATAATGCAGCTGCTTGTTTATGATGGGCCAGGCTACGGGGTGAGCCTCATTGACACGATTCTGGCAAGGCGATATCAGTGTGCAATGTGTCATAGGAAGCTCAGGAGAAAAATGAGTGCAACCCACCTGTAGGTGTCCTCAAGTTCATTGAATTGCCTTGCGTATCGCGCTGCACTCGGAGGCGCAAATTTACATTGTTGCCGCGAATCTCCGACAGCCATCCGAAGATGGCATGAGGGCGGTACTCCAGCTGATGTAATGTCGTCTTAGTGATTGCGTTTTCAGTATGCATCAGCTGACCGTATTGATTAAACACATGTGTCTCGTCTGTGGGAGCTGACGTAATGCGGTAAGTGGAAGATGGTTCGGTGATCGGCGGCAGCCGGTAGTGGATTCTGTGCACCTGTGCGAGATGAATGTGGCATTGTTTAGTGACACTATACATAAAACAAAATTAGCGTGTGACAACCTAACACTTATTGCAATGCGCATGAGGACGTCACACGGCAAAAGTGAGAATCAGTTCAAACTGGGAAATCCGGGACTGGTGTTTCGAGAGGCGGACTCAGCTACTGTTACAGCAAGCAAATAGCCCGATACGTGTCGTTCCCGTTCCTGCTGACACTGGTATGTGGAATTAGTAAAAGACAAAAAGTACTAAGCAACTTACCAAGCCGTGTTCCGCATCCGATACAAAAAGCTCCCCATAGATGCTGACAGTAATGGCTGAGATATTACCGAAGAGGAATTCTTGCGAAGTGCCCAAATCTACCGCATCCACTTTATGCGATACACTGCTCCGTCGTGTGGGCGCAGATGGGTTAGTTGCAGGTGGAACGGAATCGGAGTTCCCACTCGACTGACGCTTCCCTGCCACTGGGTAAAGCCGACCGTTAGCCCTGCGGACCCAGATGCGATCATGCTCCGCAATGTAGAGATCACCTTCGGGTGAAACCGCCAAGCCGCGAATTTCTGTAAGAATGGCATCGACTGCCGCAACCGATGCATCTTGATGTATTGTCGTCGCGAGAACACAGTCTTTAAGTTGGCCAGCAACGATGGACACGGTCTGACTGGCGGCATGATATCGATACACCTAGGAAATGTGGACGAAGAGACGGGTTAAAGCCTTACAATTGTAGGGATGAGGTGATGCAGTGAACAATACCACAGAGTGAAACAAACACACACCAGTTAAATCAACATAGCCTCCGTATTTCGAGATGTGGCTACCAGAACGAACGTGTTCATCCCACTGCTTCCAGTGAGAATAGAGGGATGGGAATATCTCATGGAAGTTCGCGAGGACCTGTCGTGAATCAATCTCGGTACTAGGGCTACAGCGACCTTATCATCGTGGTAACAGCGCTTAGTGAAGAATTCAACATAGAACACCATTGATGAGCGCAAAGAAGAGATCGTGACAATTCAGTTCAGCTCGGTTTGTCAACTGTGAACTGGGGATCGCGGTGCGGTGGACCCCAGTTGCCTTCGGCCACGTTATCACAAAAGTGGACCTTCTCCGTGAGAAGACGAAGTTCCGCGGAACACGAGTATCAAAAAATGGCGGTCACCCCGAATCGAGGATCGTCCTACTGATCGCATCATTTGAGAATACCGCAATAATCTGTTGCACGGGATCCACTAATCCAGGCCAGGACGTTGGAGACTTTACACAGCAGGGTTGGATGCAGGCACCAAACGGTTACAAACCCTATTCACTTATCCATTGTCACACGTTATATAGTGTGCAAGCAAGTGAACACAGTAGCTGTTCTGACCTTTCACGGGAACAGTCTCTCGTAGAAACGATAAATGTAAATATTGAATTTTTCCATCATAATAATAATGACCGGCCCAGTTTTGTTAAGCTAGTGGTTTGGATGTCAAACAGTTAAGTGGAGGCACAATCTTATACAGCTCTGCCAATGAACCCTGTTTGGCCCCATGACATTAAGTACTTGGAGTCAGTGGTGTTTTCCTTCAAGTTTAGATCCCCAATCCGGAAGACGGACGTGGTCGATGACAGCTAGACATTAAGTCAGCGCGCTCACACATTTTGTCACTATGCGGTAGACTGACAACATCGCGCGATTCCACACCATGCAATCCTGTGTGGGCGAATAGAAAGCATCGACGTGACAAACATCGCACGCAAATGAATGTAAACATTAACCAACACCATTTTGGTGCCCCGTTCAGTTGTCAGTTGGACTCGAACCGTTCATAGTGTCCGGGTTATGCTTTCACATACCTGACAACCGGCTGTCATAGTGTGTATTATCAGTCAACACTGCGTCTAGTTGGAGTGGAATTGTCAATCAAAGTAATCGAGAAAGCACGGGTCTCAGTGGCCTGGTAATCAAAACATTGGTCGTTAACCATTAGGTCCCGAGTTCCACACCGAACTCAGGCCACTCGTTCAAATAAGGACGACACTGGTTGTGGGATGTCAGTGTTGGGAGGAGCGATACCGAGATTCCTCGATTTCGGATATGGTCCCAGTGATCGGAATGATTAAGGTCTAATTTATAGTAAATCGAGGTCCTAACAGAGATTGCGTGTCCCAATCCAACCAGGCTGCAGATACTCCCAACTCTACTTCGAATTCCTGACCATTGTGCCAAGTGTTGCTCCCGGATCTCAGTGGCCTGGTGATCGAGGTATTAGCTACTAACCGTTAAGTCCCGAGTTCCATCCAGCTCAAGATATGTGTACTTGATGAGCCCAGCGGAAGACGATACCAGTCTTAGAGTGTGACTGTTGGGAGAACCAACACCAAAACCCCTCCAAATCGAAAAATGGTTTGGGAAGAAAACGGATAGATCAAATGGAGCTGGTAGATTCGTCCTTCTGAATGGGGTCCTCAGGAACGCCCACACAACTATGATGAGAGACGCTGTCGGATTTGGTGATGCAATGAGGCCAGGGAAGTTATCATATCCGCTTTCTTGTCTCCGTATCCAAACAACGAAAATAGACGATTGTGGCACTTTCTCATAAACATGTGTTGAATAACCATTCCGATATCCACATCCTTTGCTGGTGTCTATTACTTTCATTGTTATCATTACCATTAGTAGTGCGACCGAAGAGTGGTGGAACAAGATGTTTCTGGCTGTTCAGGTCAGGCCGATAAAGTATCCAGGAAAGCCAACTAACATCTTGTTCTTTATTGCAGGACGTTCGAGCGAAATGACGCCTGCACCTTCTCACCGCTGCTGAATGCCCACATTATGCCCCATTCAGAATACACTATTCCCGTCTAGCAGCCTTGGCATAAGCACAACCTCATCGCACTTGAAATGCCACAACAATGAGTGACCAAGAATATAAAGGGTCTATTTTGTCTGCTTTAGCAACTAAGGCGCTTGTGTGCCGATTTGATAATGACATATCAGGTCCCGAGGAATCCCAACCTAGCTTGTCATCATCTGATAAAATTGAATTACAATGACACTTTGGGAGATCCCCAACAGCTAAAGCTGGCCACACCGTATAGCCGGTAGGAATGTCGCTGGAATTTCCCCTTCTACTTCGTATGTGCTCTCCCAACTTACATTGTTTCTTCCCCCACACTAACGGTATTCAAAGGACGTATGGATGATACACGCACGCATTTATAAATTATGTTATGTGTTACTTTCCGCTGTGCCAAGCGTTGCACGCGGACCTCAGTAGCATAGTGTTCAAGGCGTCAGCCATGAAGTACTAAGCTCTGAGTTCCACCCTAGCTCAAGCTATCTCCACCTGATGAATCTAAACCAAGACGAAACCGCGGTCTTATATGGTGTGCCAGGGTTGGGAAGAGCAACACCCAAATATATCCATTCAGGATACGGTCCTCGAGATCGGAATCACCGAGGTTTACCTCAAAATGAGCCGAGGTCTCAATGGAGGTTGCGAGTCGCAACCCAACCACACAGCGTGCTCCCTAAATTCAGCTTTGAGTTATGTTCTATAGCCTTTTATGGCCGTGCGTCAACCTAACACTACCAAGTAACGCGCTCATTTGGACTTTTTGCACTTCATTGCTTAGACGCTGCTACTGTGGAATATCGTTATCATGTAGTAACATTGGATTTAAGTATCACATAGATCCAAGGAATACATAAACTATAACTGCTCCCCATACTGTTTTGTGTGCTACAGTCAATTCACATTTCACACCATTGTTTTGCTGCATTGCATCTAATGAATGGGTGGACGCTTAGACTGAGGATCCATTTCTTTTTCGATTTTGTAGGTTTCAACCAGGCTGTCTGTCCTACGGGACTTGTCGAGTACCCTTACACTCTGCCCCTGAGAAACCACTGTTCGTCGTGGTTCATTGTTCACTGAACGCTTCTGAACACGAACCCTAGGTGGTCCAACGAATTGGACTACAAACAGACGTTAGCCATCAGCTATGAAGGCACTTAAAGCAAGTCCGAGCTTGACCGGTTGAGGTCGGCCATCGATGTCGACAGAAAACATTGTTAACTGGGATAGTTCGGTTGCTACGCGAAAGTTGGTGGGAAGCTCACCTCAAACGGTGAGCGGATAGATGAGTCGCTCATTACATCTCGGGTCGGTGAGATGCAACGCAAAAGATTATGCTGCAACAAACTCGGGGTTGTGCAGCACTGTTTACTAAGGTAAGCGGTAACTGGACAAGCGGTATGCAAGAGGTGACATTGTGTGACAACCACATGTTAGAAAGTAAAGCAAAGCGACACATTTTCATCTATGCGATCAACCATCACAAGGAACCATTCATCTGGAGACGGCCGTCAAACTCATCTGTTTGAGTTTAAACATGGGACGTTGCTAGGCGTTCAGTGAAATTGGGGGGGGGGGTCGCCTTCACTTGCTTCGTAGAATACAATGTACGGCAATACTTCACTAATCATCAGCAATCAAATGTTTGCCGCTGTGGTGGAGCCCTGAAGCGGTTTCTCTTGTTGCTAGTGTCCCCCCGCCACCCATATGGCAACTCACACCTTGGTAACAGCCCTCATGACCGCGGTCGCTGTATGCATACGACGTGCGATGTGTCGCTGCTAACCAGAACGCTCGTAGCCTGAGTCTCCATTGTTAATGGTGTAGGACCGCGACATGTGTGTACACACACGTTTCATTGTGTAAGGCCAGGTAAAGTTGACCTATGCCGGTTGTCGTGTGGTTTACGACAAAACCGGTAGGTGAGATGGCGTTATTGAGTGCGTTGAAATACATGTCCTAGATGGATGACAGACGAACGGTGAAGTATCAGACTAAGAAGTTGTTGGAGCGTATATGTTCACCCCTCATTTATGGACCATGCACCAGAACGACCTGTGGTTGAGGTACCGAAGACCCGTTATCCGTAAGATGTGCTCGTAAATTGTGTGAACGAGCTCATACGTTGCGTGAATCTCGTGCGCTGACGTATTGTGCCTCAAAATATGACAATGTTCCCGGCTTCCCACAAGGTGAGAGGCATGTGAAGTGAACCAGCACAGTCGTGCGACACGTAGCATCTGAACACCTGATACTATGCACGAGAAATTGCGAAGAAGCAATGACAGCCTAAGAGTAAAGAAGTACTTTGGACAAATTCAATTAGGTCAGAGGAAATTATTAATTGCCAAGGTTCATAAAAAGTAGCTCATGTTACAAAATCCATGTGAGGTCAATTGTGATGCTGATGCTTCAATGCTATGCTAAAGAGGAACCGTTAAGAAGACAGCCCGAACGTACTACAACTAATCTTTGCTTGTCAACTCTACTCCAACCGACCTGTTCAATACTTGGTTACCATTGATCGTACATATGTGGTGCAATATACGTGGGGTGCATGAGGTGATGATTACTTCTTAGGATTCGTGGACATTTCTCCATATCCCAAAATGACAGTGAAGCGAAGTAGTGTCCACATTTCTGGAGTACGACTGGATACACTTACTGACATGGCAAGGAGCCGACCTCAGTGGCGTTCCTGCTGTGAGTTTCTTTGTCCATCCCCCTCCCTTTTAGCATCCCCTCCATCTACGATCTCATTTCGCAGCGTAAAACATAATGACTTTTCTTTTTGCCCAGTAGCCGGCTGGTAGCTTACCGGAACGATGCCCATCCGTTGCAGGTAGCTCAGCTGGCATGCAACTGTTGTATTTATTTTCTTTGTCCTTTATGTATTGCGGCACAGTAGCTGAGGTGTTTCCAACCTCTGACTAACGTGTATAATGATGATGATGATGGAGTACGGTCACATAACGTCGAGAAACAACCAACTGGATTTTTCCATTTTGGAACCCTTATTAGGAGGCCTCCGAAGAGCTTTGCTGTGTGTTTCAAAAGACACACACATACATGCCTTCAATATGGAACTCTCCGCCCGTAATATTTGAGGACCAAGTTACCCCCATGGCTAACCACCATGATTACTTAACCTTTTAATAGTACTTTTAAGTGTTTTGCGTAAGCCGTTGTGAGAAAAACTGCATTTTTCTCCTGTTTGTCTGAGGTACCTCTAGTAGCACTATAGCAAGCAGTTGATTCGATGGTTAACTTGACGTATCCACACTAATTGATCCCGGCCCATTCGGTAACCGACGCCTATATTCTCCCCAATACAAGTACGTGAGCCTGATGAGAGTTTGTTCGAGAAGAATCCTTCATTCATGTTAGGAAGGAAAAGTAAGCGAACAACCGAGACATCCATCGTCGTTACGGAGCCAAGGTATGACAGGCGAGCCAAACTCGCTCGCACTGATTGGGGCGAACAGATGGAGAACCGGGTGAAGTGGACAATTAACACGACAGTGGCATTACTTGATTGGCCGTAAGTTGGCCTGGAGTTTTCCATGTGAGGTTTAAATACCATTCATGAACCTTCTATTATTATTATTATTATTATTATGAACGGTATGATTGGGTAATACAACCCTGTTCCTCTGCTCGTCCGATCCGTTCTTCTCTCTCCCCTGGAGAGGGGGGGGCAGCGACTTCGAATTCCGATTGACAACCAACCGTCAATTCAGGCAAGGGATGACCACCTCAATTCACTAACCACATATGGTATTGTTTTATGTTGACAGCGTTTGAAGAAGCTAGGAAGCTATGACTCCACTTTTAACACCAGGAACACTTCTCAGCCTTCTCGTCACTTGATTCTGTTTTATGCTGCATCAGCGCCTGTGTTGCGCTGCGTTTTGCTAGAAGCGTTTCCAAATTACTGCAAGGCCTTTGAGATATGGGAGAGTTGATTTTTGCATCAAGCCAGGCTATTGGGTTGTAGATGCTTGTACCTAACAGAGGTGACACCTTCAGCGTTTAACGATGAATAGATTTAGGTAAGTCAGTATATGTTTGCTACCAGTTCATAGACTGCTTTGGATATACCTATCAAACGATCGTGATCGCGCTTCATCCGTATTGCTTATCGATTGTCATACCCAGTGACACACTTAAGAGATTGTTACTTGACACCCTTGAAGATGGTTAGAATGTGGGATAGATACCTGAAATTAGATTGGTGCATTGGCCACACTGACTGAGTCACGTGAGCTGTTCTGTTCGCCGTTAAGTCACTGGTTGGTGCTGTTTCAACCGGAAAGTTACGAGCTGGCTACGTGCAATACAAGCTAAAAGACAGTATTTGTCGACGTTGTTGTGCATAAGTATGGCAGTGCGCGCGAAAATTCCCGTCAATAATACTAATCGATCCGAGTAGCAACCCGTCGCTCATAGGACTTTGCTACAAAACCAGGCAGGTTCACACTAGGGCCTAGCGACCGTTAATAATCCCCTCGTTGACACGCTTTTAAAACCAAAGTTTTCACATTTTTAAACAGTATTGGTAGATAATGAAAGTCGAGATCCACCCTACGCTGCGAGTGTTCTCTCAGAATGCAATAATGGATCAAAATAGTGAACTAGACCATCAAGAAGAGGGAGACATAACGGATTCGATTGCTGGGGACAGATTGGCTGATGTTCGGGTGGGTTCCTCACAAGTTGTTTAACTGAGTCAAATGAGGAACATGATGGGCTCGTAAGAGTCGCTGTTTGTGGACGTGAAAGAACAATATGTGACGAGGAATTCAGTGCGCCAATCATGCTGTGAATTTCGATGAGTTGATTTTTCCGATTAAACGCTTGTCCCTGAGGGACTAAGTTCTGTAATAAACCGGCGAAAAAGTTTCCTGTCGCATTTCGCATATAAGATGGAATGCACGATCCATACAAGGTGCGCATGTCACAGCTGCATGCATCCTTGGTGGGTGCACAAAGCAGCTCAAGTTGATGTGAATTGCGTCTACCGCTAGCCGTAACAGCATTGATGGAGACGTTACCTCGGAAGAAATGTATGATGCGCGAACCGCGAAAGGCCATTCCATCTTAACACCATCCAAATAGGAAGAGTCAAAAATAGAGGCGAACCGAAACGAAGACACATGGCAGATGCAAACGAACAAGTAGGGTCCGGATACTCACGTGAATTCTATCCGCAAAATATACCGCATCCTCCAGAGCGTTGTACACGAGGTGTGTTGGAGAGTGAAGAATTATCTGGGTAGCAGATACAGCATGGTTGCACGAGATTGGATCCGAGGTGGTGGGCTCCCCGGCCTGACCCACAGCAACGTGTGCAACCGGGTTGGCACTCATCGAGGTACGCAGCGGCAATCGCCAGATAAAGGGCCCGTCAGCAAAGTACACCACCTACAGTGGGAAAATAAAAGGAAATCACGGTAAACAGAAGTGCAAAAATGAGCAGAAGCACTGAGGGGAAGAGTTAGAGTCCCGGTCCAACTGACTGCGTGAAAGTGCAGCGATTGTTATCGTAGTGGGATTCCCGGCTTAAACGGGAAAACAGATATGAACAGGCGTAACAGCAACGCAAGCATGCGGATGTGGTTACACGAAAATATTCACAGGGTAGCAGAGTACACTTTTCGGTAGTTCACATAAGGTAAATACAGCTACAGGACTGATGAATGCAACAGCAAGCTGGTGAAGGCAAAAGTGAAGACGGATGGGACGGTTTGAACAGATTTAGCATATTCGTTCGATGCCCAAATCCATTTAATCAGGTGACATTGTGATTGGGCTAACAGACAGCGAAACAACTTGGGTAAACAGAAGAGGTAAAAATACTAACGATATTAGAAAATTATATCACTACATAAATAAATGGCACCCGGTTACGCGTAATACTCCAGGGTAACGACTTCCCGTCACGGTCATGACAAAGTCAATGGTTGCACAAACACCCTATGCTTGTACAGCTCTGGTTGTATTAGCCGGATCGCGATGGCTTCAGCTGTCTGCAAGAGGCGTTTCCTTAACCCTTTAGGGCATCGCCTCGTTACAGCATAATAGACCTTGAAGGCATCTTTGGTCAAAATCTGATGCCCACTTTGAAGCAAATGTTCCAAGATGGGACTGTTGATACTTCTGAGCATGCCACTTCGCAGTGACGTCGGAGTACCCAGTCATCCGTACTGACAGACGCTTGATCGTATGTCAGGTACTTGGCATCACAAGTGCAAGTAAACTGATAAACAATGTACGATTCGGACGAAGTTGGCAGTCTGTCCATAAAACGTATAGCTATAAAAAGTGCGGTCTCCGCAAGAATGTGCGGTTGGACTGCCGCGTCGGTCCTTGCTAGGCGGTAGAAAGTCTCCTGTTTGGGAGATGGAAGGCAATGTCTCCCTTAAAAGGTACAGTGATGAACACATCCTTCTTCAAAACGGTTGCTACGAGCTTAAAGCGCTCACAGGTCATGGCGTGCTTTTTGATGAACGGTTCAAGGTAACCATACGAAAGTAGCGTTTTCACAATTCAGTCCTTCTCACCCTCGTGTGTTTCCAGACTACAAATATTGGTGGCCCGGTAATACAAGCAACGCACTAAGTTGCGTTTATACTTCAGAGGTACGAAGCTCTAAAAGTGTGTATACTGTCCAACCTATGGAACTTTGCGGAAGACAGCTCAAAAAATCGCCCAGAAACGCCAGCTTACCTCCGTTTGCTATTTTACTAGTGAAATTCACTGAGGGATTGCATTGTTGAACTGATCGAGCAAATGGTTGACATCAATGCGAGAATCACATATGGTGGAAATGTCATCCATATACCTCCAATAAGAATCAAATGAGGCAATAACCGCTTGGATGGGCAGCGCTCAAGCTTTGCGAGAAGGATGTCGGCAAGGAGGGGTTCAAGGGAGGATCCTATCGCCACGCCATCGAGTTGCGTAGAATAGATTACATCAAACAAGAAGTGTCTATTAAAGGTAGACCGCAAAATTAACTCTTTAAGCTTAGGCACTGGAATGCCAACGTTTAGGTTCCTTTCCGTTTTATACTCACAGATGAAATCAACAGTTTCCAGTAATGGGAGGTTTGTGAAAGGGGATTCTACATCAAAAGAACGCATCAGTTTACCATTTAATTGCAGGTCTTTAACTTTATCAACGAATTCGAACAAATCCTTCAAAGAATGGATAGAGTGCTCCTTACGTACAGGTTCCAATAATTGCACAATCCATATCGCAACTAAGTGGTATGCAGAAGCGGACATGTCAATTTTTGGACGTAGGGAGACTTGTGGTTTGTATACTTTAGGCAACACGTAGAGCCGAGTAGGTTGGGAGCCAACAAGAGTTAACTGCTGCAACTGAACATCGGTTATCAAGTTTATTTGTTTTAATTCTTTCAAGATCTTTGTAATCCTTGCTTCATCGCCTGCCGTCTTGTCTTTATGGGTTGTGTGAAGCAAGAATTTACTCGTGTCTTGCAAGGTAACTTGTAATTTTGTAATGCAATCTGATTTGTCCATTAGCACCCATCCCGATCATTTATGAGGCCTAGAAAGCATAAGATCGGGATTTGACCTAAATTCTTTAATTGCTTCTCGATGCTTCTTGGAGAGAATGTTTGATGATCTCTCGCAGCGTAGATACGGTTGACAGAAGTGCACTAAGGTCGCGCTGAAAGTGCCCATGGCCAGAGGAGAAGTAGGTGTTAATTCAGCTAGTTAGTGCATTAAGTTTTCAAACTGTGTTTCTATGTGAACTTGTCCACTGACGGGTTGGGTAAGACAGAATTTTGGTCCGAGGGATAATGCCTTAAGCTGAAGTTGATTCGACGGTATCTTGGACAGCTTTTGCACACAACTCTCTGGATTGGGTGGGAATTTCGGTTCCGGCTGCGTTGGATGCAAGCCTTTTAAGAGCTTTATTTGTACTTCCTTTCTTGTACATTTGTGCACACCCTTTGCAAGTACCGCTTAAAAGAGTCACGCTGTGTTGTATCAGGCTCTTCGACACTTGGTTGGTAAAGAGCACACAACCGTTCCAACTCAGGTAGTCGGGACTGAACAGCATTTAAAAGATCGTGAGCATGGAGTTTGAAAGGACTTTGTCGTCCGGCGCACATGACATCGTCTGAGCGACTTCCAATAACCCTCAGGATACTGATTGTGTTGCAAGCATTCCTGTATGAACCGAAGTTCCCTCTTTGCTTCAGCAAGTCCGGCATTAGACTACAAACACCTATTACTGGGCCACTAACATTTGTAGCCCGAAAACTCTCGAGGGTGAGAAGGACCGAATTGTGAAAACACTTCTTTCGAATGGATACCCTGAACCTTTCGTAAAAAAGGGAGCGTCTTAAGCCCGTAGCAACGGTTTCGGAAAAGGATATGTGTCCCTCTCCGTCCATTTTAAGGGAGATACCGCCTTCGATCTCCTGAACAGGAGACTTTCTAGCGCCGTAGCAAGAACTTAACTGGCCGCCCACCCATACGTACTTGCGGAGACCGCACCTTTATAGCTATACGTTTTATGGACAGACTGCCAACTTCGTCCGAATCGTACATTGTTTACCAGTTTACTTGCACCTGTGGTGTTAAGTACATCTGACATACGATCAAGCGTCTCTAGGCACGGATGACTGAGTACTGTCCAACGTCACTGCGAAGAGACGCTCAGAAGTGTCAACAGCTCGATCTTGGGACATTTGCTTCAAAGTGGGCATCAGATTTTGACTAAAGATGCCTTCAAGGTCTATTATGCTGTAACGAGACAATGCCCTAAAGGGTTAAGGAAACGCCTTTTGCAGACGGCTGAAGCCATCGCGATCCGGCTAATACAACCAGAGCTGTGCAAGCATAGGGTGCTTGTGCAACTATTGATTTTGCCATGATCGTGACGAGAAGTCGTTGCCCCGGAGTATTACGCATAACCGGGTATCAATTATTTCTGTAATGATATAATTTTCTAATATCGTTAGTATTTTCACCTCTTCTGTTTACACGAGTTGTTTCGCTGTCTGTTAGCCCAATCACAATGTCAACTGACTAGATGGATTTGGGCATCGAACGAATATGCTAAATCTGTTCAAACCGTCCCATCCGTCCTCACTTTTGCCTTCACCAGCTTGCTGTTGCATTTATCAGTCCTGCAATCGTGTTTTACTTTGCCATGGGCATTATCTACGAGTTAAAAAAGAAAAATACTCGTCCTAACAGTTCCTCAATGCAATGCGGTACATCGCAATTATCAGTGGGCGTCGTGTCTTTCAGGGTCAGTGTTGTCCTCTGTAACGTTCGTAGCTTGCATGACAGTGGAGGATAAGACGCGCTATATCGCAGTTGGCCTGCAAATCACGACAGTTTGCTGCTTTCCATCCATGTTTAAGTGGGATAAGCCGATGGCTGATAGTTCAAGTCGATAGAAGCGACGGGTTCGCACTCTGATGGAGATGACGGATGCGCACTAATGACCAGACCTAAGAAATTGAAACGGTCGTCTAGTGCTGTTCCGGGTATGTGGACGATTAGCTAATTTGGACGCTGCTGCATGAATCCATTAATGATCTATTCTGCTACTGAGCAACTTCGCGGTCGTGGTGGTTGAGTATTGCATAGTACTCGATAAATCGAGATGCAATCGTCCTGATTAGGCCAAAATTGTACAAAACAAACAATTTTGATGTTCGATAGAGCGACAAGGGGAGCCTAATGGACTCGGCTCCCCATACTTATTTCCATTTGTGCTCTTATTCGCATGCACCTAATGTACAGTTAAATTGACATGCAGGAGCCGGTTGGACAATGTCACAGACACATCCGCCTCACACAAAGTTAACCAATTTCCACTTCTAGTTGTCTCAGCCTTCATGTACAGCTGCTAAGCTGAAACTAAAGATATACCTTCGCGTTTCGATATCCCTATTGAGAACACCATAATGCACACGAAAATGCTTCGGCTAAATTAGATGCTGCATTCTATACAACTAAAACGGAGTTTTAATGTTTCGCTTAGCAGCACACACCTCGTCCATCACCCCAAGGAACAGAAAATTGGGCTCCGCTCGTGCACGGAACTCTTAGTCAGGATGCCATGAAGTATACCCATTTGGAGTTTTGAACTGGAGATGACGGCATCCAGTACCGGATTTGCCTGTCACTGCGGCCTCCAGGAGGACAGCCACAGGACGTCTGCGCCTATATAGACATAATGCGTGGCTTGAACTGCCGCACGCATGGATCCGTCCACACACCCCATATCCAGATTAAACCCGAAGGAATAAGACAGGGGAAGCATGTGGAGAGAAGCTACATTTCATCAACAGAGTCGGCCCACACCCTTTCAACATGCACAGTAGCAGCATTCCTGTCCAGCTATGTTGGGAACCTTGCGTACCATATGTG